ACATTGCAATTTGAGCTTTAAACCTTTCATTTCAAACAACAGAGAATTGCATTAAAATCATTTAAATAATAAAATAAATAAAAGTTTTTAAAACATAATGTTTTAATAATCACGTCAAAAAACTTGAAAAGTAAGAGAAGAACAAGAAAAAAAAGTTATCAACTTTTGAATGAATTAATTAAAATTTTGAATGAATTGACCTTGTTATGCAATAATTATACTATGTAATAAATCTTTTTAGTCTATATAAAAGAAATATAACATGGCTTATTAAATGTTATAGTTATCGCTTGTTTATTAAATGTTATAAAGTGATGTTGTAAAATGAAATGTTTTAGTTATCGCTTGTTTATTGTTAACGCTTCTCTCTCGAGTACCCGCGAAGAGTACTCATGGGAGATCTCCCATAAGTACCCAAATTTATTTCCTTATTGCTTCTTGATAAACAATATCATTGTTTATCAAGAAAGAATATTATTGCTTCTTGATAAGCAATAAGAAAATAAATTTGATTTTACTCTTTACATTAGTTAGCAAATAAAGCATGTATATGAAAATTAGCGGCCAATCGATGTTGATGTCATTTTGGTTAATTAATTACATTTTTATTAGGAAAAACGTAAAATACTAGGGTGAGTTAAAAGTAATGAATGTAACTTAAAAGTAATGAATCAAGCAGCACTTCGCTGCTCGCAGCGAAGTGCTGTTACATCGACTAAGGATTTGGCATGGGGCAGCAATCTTTTCATTCATTATTCTTTGTTTTTTTCTTCTGATTCTACAAAAGCTGTATACATTAAGATAATCAAAAAAAGTGAGCAAATGGTTATATAAATCTATAAATAAATAACTCATATTTAAATACTATCTTATAATTTTTTTGTTTCAAATTAGAAGAGTTTAAAATAGGGTAAGTTACTGTTATAATTTACAGCCTAAGTTATAATTTAAATTTTAAATTGCAGTTATACTGTAATACGTTTTTTATATTCTATTTGAGATTTCTTGTTAAAATAATTTTTAGTTAAAAGCTTGTAATATGTGTTACAACATATATGGTGTTATAACAGCATATAAATAGGAACATATATATGGCTAATTTTTGTGAGTCTTTGAGTATATTAAGTAAATTTGATAGTTAAGTTACTGTAGTAACTAAACTGGTTGTTAAGTTGTTTTGATTTAGTTTGAAGGTAAGTTTATGTACTTTATCCATTCAGTATATCAAACTAAATTTAACTTTAAAATAATATTGGCTTTTACGCAGAGATTTAAAGTAATTTAAATTCAAAATTGCTTTAGTTTGAATAAAGTCCTCGTACATTAGAGCAAAGATCATACTTCTATTCAAAGTATAAATTTAACATGGCGTACTTTATGAGCCTTAATAAAAAACTCAGACAAAAATACTATTTTTAAGAATGGCCAAAAAAATGCTAAATTAGAAAAATAAAATAAACAAAAAAAAACAAACAAAAAAAAAAATTGTGAAAATATTTTTTTAAGAAAAAACTTATCCTGAAGTTGTGAAAAGCAATCACGATTCGCCATCATGATACGCCTAATTCGAGCCCTGATATATATATATATATATATATATATATATATATATATATATATATATATATATATATATATATATATATATATATATATATATATATATATATATATATATATATATATATATATATATATATATATATATGTATATGTATATATATATATGTATATGATATATATATATATATATATATATATATATATATATATATATATATATATATATATATATATATATATATATATATATATATATATGTATATGTATATATATATATGTATATGTATATATATATATATATATATATATATATATATATATATATATAATATATATATATATATATATATATATATATATATATATATGTATATGTGTATATATATATATATATATATTTATATATATATATATATATATATATATATATATATACATATATATATATATATGTATGTATATATATATATATATATATATATATATATATATATATATATATATATATATATATATATATATATATATATCACAAGTTAGGCGATGTTTTCTAAAAGTGTTACTGTGTTTGGAGACTAAAATAATTTAGTGATTTGCAAAATATTTCAAAAGTCCCAAGGGTTGTTATCATTTCAGACAGTCTTTAAATGTATGTTAGTACAGTGTAAAAATTATTACATCATATAAAATATTGCTCTAACATTTAGGTGATATCCCATTGAGACAGTTGGTTTATCGTGTACATCCTTTACCAACTAGTATGGTTCCACTTGTTTGGGATTTTGGTCAGTTGGATTCGGAGACTGAAGAAGCCTATGCAAGACAAATAATTTCAAGATTTGTGAGAAAATTATTTAAAATAAATTTTTATCCATTTTTGTAAAATTCTTTGTTGTATTGCATAACCACATTTATATACTTAAATTTTTATCATTGTTTAAATTTTAACATAATTGTTTCATTTATATTCATTTAATATGTTTATTTGTTATATTTATTGTTTGTTATTATATTTGTATTTTAAAGTTATTTAAGCAATTTTAACTTAATTTTAAGTTTAATCAGTTTTTCAGTTGATTCAAAAAATAGTAAAAAAATAAATAAGACAGAAAATTATATCTGGAGATAAGCATTTTTCATTAAAGTTAATAAGAAGTCTGTATTAAGATGTAATTTGTAGCATAATTTTAATTTTTTTAATTATATATGCCAAATAATACAGTTTCATTTTTTATTATCTAATAGTACAGTTTTCATTTTTAATTGTTGCATCAAATTTATTAAATTCATTTATAATTCTAAAACATTATAAATTTATTGTTAATGCACTTGGTTTAAAAACATTAAGATGTATACAAAACATGTTTTTATTGAAGTTTAAAAAATTGTTTACTAAAAGTTGGTAGAGCAAAAAATCATTTCATTAAATATTGTAAAATAATATTAAAAGAAAAATAATAATGTAAAAAGTTAGGTATAGGTTGTTTTTTTTTTCCTGTTAAGTTTATATGAAATATATGCAAGTTATTCTGCTTTATAAAAGCTTTATATAAGTTTTGAAAATTTACAAGATAATGAATCTTACAAAATGAATATAATATTATTGTGATTATTTCTTTTATATAGGTAAATGAAGGAAAGCTACCAAATGACAATCTGTTTTTTGAGTTGATCGTTTGTGTACTTAAAGAATCTCAAACATATATGAGAACACAAAAGGTTTAATTTGATATGATTTATACAGGATATACAATTAATTTCTGACTCCCCTCATTTTGTATTACAACAAGTAGGTGTATTATGTATTAGAACAAGTGTATACAACAGTGGATAGTGATTATTACAGGAAAAAAATCTTGCCTGTTTACAAAGCATCCATGATTGATAAAGAAAAATTTTCCTTGCTCAGTATGCAGTTTGATAGCATGTTTTTGCATGTCATCAATAGGGAGTTCAATAAATATCTGGACTTATTGGCCAGGGAATTCACCAGACCTTAATTGGCTTGAGCATGTATGGGCAAGGCTTCAAAACAGCGTTTTTAAAAATCTCAAACCCCAATATCTATATCACAAGAGTTCAAAAAGAATTGGCTTCCATCACCCAGGAAGAATGTTATTCACTTATTGAAAGTTTTTGCACCAGAATTTTGGAACATTTTGGTAAAAATGGTGGAATAACTCACTACTGATCAGTAACAATGTTCTTAAGATTTTGTGAAAAAATCAATAAAAATATTAAGTAACAACCAAGTTACAGTCATTTACAAAAGGATATTAGGGGAGGGAGGGGGGAATCAAAAATTAATTGTACACCCTATATATATATATATATACACATATATTTGTATATATATATATATATATATATATATATATATATATATATATATATATATATATATATATATATACATACATATATTTGTATATATATGTATATATATAGGCCTTGTTAAAAGATTTCATTGTGTAATGAAAATGCTTAACACTTTTAAATATGACTTTAAACTTACCATTGCTATTTGATATATTGATATGTCAAATGTTTTCTATACACACTGTTGATCAAATGTTTACTATCACTTTTTAATACAATTAAAACTGATTAATATTACTACTGTAATTTTTTAATAGTCAATACTTTTTTTTTAATAGTCAATACTTATTTTTGTCTAGTTTATCCAATAAAAACTGGGTCTGGTTACTATACTGTGAGTAAGGGGGTCGATCCATGTATGTTAATGTTTTGCACATTCTTTTGATAAACTATAATTTTTGCACAGTTTTAATATGTGCTTAGGATTGTTGTCTTACTTGAAAATAAAGATTTTTTGCTTTGAAAGGTTAAAGTTCTAGCACGACTTTTACGTCATGCCATCAAATCAATCACATAGGAGAACAAAAACTCTTGTGCAAAATCCTAATAATAAATAACTCTGATACAAAACGTTCAGTTTTATTGTGGGTAAGGGAAGGAGAAATCGTGGGTAAGGGAAGGAGTAAATATTAAATGGTAATCTTTTTAGTCATAGTACTAGTACCATAGTTTACCAGTTACTACTTTTAACCGCTATTAAGATGGAGGTTTTTGTTTTCGTTAGCTAGTTTTTTAAGATACTTGCTTTTAGAAAGACTGCTTTTTTAAATGCATAATTCAGGAATGGAGAGTTGGAAGAAAAATATATGGCTCCAGCTCTTAATTTTTTGAAAACTTTTGACTCTATCAATTTTCACTATCAATTTATATTAATAGTTTTCTGTATTTATGTAAATACAATGTTGACTTGCTTCCTCTTTAATTTAGATCCTTTCTTTGCTAAATATGATTCAAAGTTTTATTATGGGTGTTTCATATTCTCTCTTGTGCTCTGAAAAGAGATAAAAGGTGTACCTCCAATAACAGTATCTCTATTTAATAATACCTATTTTATCAAACACTATGATTTTTTTTGGAATTTTCTTTTTTCAATTGTGCTTTTACTTAAAAAAAAGCTTTTCTGCATCTATCTTACAAGTTTTATCTTGTCCGATAAAACTTGTATGCAGAAGAAGTTTATAATTCCAAAGTTGGTTTCCACATTAGATAGATGTCAATTAAGTGTGAGATAAACTGTACTTATAGTTAAAGCTACTATTGATACACTAGGGCATAACAGATAATTTTTTTGTAAGCAAGTCCTCAATCCATAGAATTTGTACAGAAATGTGAAGAGAGCATGCTGAAGCTATAAAAGTTAATTTTTAAAACAATATCCCGGATAGGGTAACTGTCCACTTGTATACAAAATGTATGGTATAAGCAAATAAATAAGCTAATAAAGCAAACTATTGCTGGCTCTAGATTCACCAAAATCTAAAGAAGAACGCTTCCCAATAGTTATTTCATATGATGATAATGAAAAACTGATAGCTGTGTTAAAATTGGACAGCTTATCAGTAAGCAAACAGGCAGTTTAAAATGTCATTATCAACTAAATTCTTGAGAATAGGTTCCCTGTTATAATACTACTGCTTCAAATACAGGCTCTATTAATGGTGCATGTGTGCTTCTCAAATAAAAACTAGAGAGAGAAATACTTGTTTTTGCTTGCCATCATCATGTCTATTAACTAGTATTAAAAATTGTATTTGAAGCAAAAATCAGTCAAGTAACTACAAGCCCAGACATTCTGTTGTTTAAAATGTTCCAGAAAACTGGAAAAATGTTGATGCTAAAGAAATAAAGTCTGTACAGAAAATCTTGTTTAAATGTTTCAGAAATTTATAAATTGCTAGAATTCTATAGGTTTGAATTGACTAAAGAAATAGCTTGAGATGGCTATTGTGAATTAATTGAGTTTTCAGTAATATTTCTTGGTGGTACAGAGAAGAAATTTAAGATTCGAGCCACTTATTTAAAATATCATTAAGTTCCCATTTTGGAATTTTAAACAAGGATAAGACAGCTCTGTTGGATGTCTGTTTATGGATGTCTGTTTATCAAAATTTGGCTCCAATGTATTTTAGCAGTAAAAGCCCACAATAAATGTTAGATTGCATCAAAAGAAGAACTTTGGGCCCCATTTTTTGGTATGTTTTATATGTAACTTATGCTTCGATTTTCTTTTGTAGTTTACCATACGATTGATAATTGTTTCTTCTATTTTAATTTCAGAGAAAAACATCAATGACCTCTGTCAAAAGCTATTTTCTATTTAATCAACTCTAAAAATGACAGTTTTCTTAAGAAGAGCCTTTCTTTATGGTCAAATGATGATTCATTCCAAAAGGCTAAAAGGAAGCTATTGACACTGAGAGCTGTTTATGATATGGCAGAAAGAGCGGAGTTATTCAAAGAGTAAATTAATGCAAGACTTTCATGGTTTAATCACTGTTAAAGAGATGTAAAAGCAGTTATTATTTCTCAATAGCTCCATACTAACTTTTCAACCTAAACTTTGATTTGTTATGGGTTTGTTGATGGGTTATCATTATCTGATCTTGATAATATTCAATGTTTAAGTTTTTGTCTAATGAAAAAAAAAAAAGGTTATGCATTTTGAAGTTCGAAGAAAAAAAATTTTACTCTTATAGCCTGGGACACCCTAATACATACATACATACATACATACACACATACAAACATCCTTACATACATACATACATTAGTGATTGACCGAAATTCTGTTTTGGTATCGATTTTGGCAGAAATTTTAATTTGAACCGATACCGAAATTTTGGTTTCAGTACTTTTTATAAATTTGGTAAAAAGCAAAATTTCAGTTGAAAAACATAACAAAAACCAATATTTATCTAATTTAGAAAAACAGTAATTTTTTAGAATTTTCACAAAATACTTTGAGAATTTTCACAAAAGTATTAAGAATTTTCATGAAATACCTCAAAAAAATCTTGTTTTGCAGAGAAAATCTCCCAGTTCTTAAGTTTCGCTATTAACTTATATTAAAATATTAAATCTCAATTTGGAATACACGTATTAATTAATTCTAACATAATACGAGTATAAAAAAACAACAAATGTAAAATTTTTGTGTTTATGTGTAAATATGCCCCCGCCTACAACAACATAACCAAAAAATGCCTGTTATGCTTATACCAAAAACTAATTATTTTATTGTATAAAAATCCTCAAGAATTATGAAACAAAAAAAACAAACTAATATCTAAATGTCGCCATGAGAACAAGTTTTTGCTGGACAACCACAAACCAAAAGATTAGATTTTTTAAACTCTGTTTCTTTTGTACAGATTTATTATTTTTTTACGAGAAAAAAAACATATTTACACCTGATGATTGCATTTAGCATGAAACTTATAGTTGTGAAAAATATGTAGTTTTATTAATAAATAATATATGTAAATACAGCTCTGTTTTAATTTAAATCATTGTAATTTACTTTAATTCATCGAGCACTCTCACAAAGATATATGCAAGCACTAATACGTATACATATATATATATATATATATATATATATATATATATATATATATATATATATATATATATATATATATATATATATATATATATATATATATATATATATATATATAATTAGAAATATATCTATCTATCTATCTATCTATCTATCTATATATATATATATATATATATATATTATATATATATATATATATATATATATATATATATATATATATATATATATATACATATGTAATATATATATGTAAATACATATATATATATATATGTAAATACTGTTTTAATTTAAATCATTGTAATTTTACATTTTTAAATAAATTTTTATAATAAAACAAACTTTGACTAGCTGAAATTTTGGTTTCGATTTCGGCACCAAATTTGAGTACCCAAAGTTTTGGTTTATTTTGGTTTCGGCTTTTTTTTTGTTTTAGTCAATCACTAACATATATACATTCCTACATACATACATATATATATACATTACAATGCATTAATAACACATGCATATTTTTATATTCTTTAAAAAACTTGCAAAAACAACAATCTTAGTAATCAAATTAATTTTTTGTTGCTATGGATATATTTCATAGCAACAATTTCCTTGCTTGGCCTCATTTAATATTTAATTTATATTCTCATATATCATATATAGTTTTTGTTATTATATACAAGCTACAAATCTGTAAAAGCTGCAATGGCTTTTTAGGTGTCTAAAAATCAATACTAGTACAGGGTATTTAGGGTATACTAGCCAAAAAAATTGAAATAAACTTTTTTTTATTCTTTTTTATAAACCTAATTTTTTTTTTTTAAGTAAATTGAAAGATTAAAAGATTTTTCTTTTTTAATTATTTTTACTTAAGTTTTATGCGTTTTTTGTTTAGGATGAATGCAGTTTTGTCAGTTTGAGAGATGTAGAAAGGGCATTATTAGTAACAAGTTGGTTTTACAAGAGAATGGACCTATTTATAAACATTACTGACAATGAGGTATGGTAATAAAACGTTTTTCTTTTAATAAATTTTAATTATCAGTAAATGGATTATTTTAAAAACATGTTTAACAAATAATTTACTTTAATTAGTTACCACCAGGGGTTGAAATAGGTGTCAGACATTGCTGCCCCTCGCTGCCCCTCAAACCATTATTGAGATCTGTTACAGGAGGGCAACCTATCATCTTTCATTTTTTCAGTAAAAATGAATAATGATGGTTTGCCCCCTTTAAATAGGTTACAAAAACAGTCTGGGGCACCAATGTCCAATACTTATCTTAACCCCTAGTTACCACAGTATTTAGTTTTATATTATAGAATTATATTTTGTTTGTTATAATATCATTTGCTTGAAGTTATTGGTTAGCTTTTTAAAGCAACTCTAAAGTTATTGGTTGGCTTTTTAAAATATAATAATGAGGAATTTAATTGAAAATTTGAGGAATACAAAGACTTCTTTGTAGGCTACAAACAAATAAAAAGACTAAACAGAACTAGCATACAGCAACCTGTGACTTTTAACAGTAAAATCGAAAAAAAAATTCAATTTTATTGTTAATAATGAGTTACTTCAAATTAGCTTCTATGCAATGTTAAATGTGTGTTTTACTATGATTTAGCCTCGTTACACTGTGCTAAATTAGTCACAGATTGGCTAAAAACATATACACTGCTGTCAAAAGATATAAATCAAGCAAGTGTGGCAGAAACTTGTTTTATTGAGTTTTTTTTTTTTATGGTTTTTAAACAAGAAGTGTACAATGGTAGCTTGACTCCTGGTAATAATTATAAATTGGAAACTAGGATATAAAGCATTGCTTGAAAAAAATAGATGCCAAGGTTGTGCAAAAGTTTGACACAAAAAAGACCAAATAAGTCATTTATAGAGTTAACTAACTTTTTTAAAATAAATTTTTTGAATAAATATTGTTTGAAAAAAAGCTATGTTAAAAAAACCAACAATGATTTTTGTTTATAAAACATTGCTTGAAAAAAAATAGATGTCAAGGTTGTGCAAAAGTTTGACACAAAAAAGACCAATTAAGTCATTTATAGAGTTAACTTAAATTTTTGTTTATATTTAACACATTCAACACCAAATCAACTTAAATCAACTAGAATTTTAATAATCAACCTTACTATGAAGTCTTAAAAAAATAATTAAAAAAGAGTTTAGTATATTTTGATAAAAAATGTTCAGAAAACATGGAAATATTTTCTGCAAAATCTAGCTTTATAAATTTGGCAAAAGTAACGATAAAAAAATGTTTATGAACTTTTATATGATAAAATTATAATAATGGGTGATGATAAATTATATTAATTTTGTATAATTATTAGTAATGATATCATAAGCAAAAATAATGATATTTTAATTTAAAAATAATTTTGATAATTAATTTAAGGAAAATTAGTTTTAAAAATTGTTCATCTAAAAATAAATTTTTTATTCTGTTGAATAAGATAATCAGATGTAATATACTATACTACGCCATTATAAAATATTATGAATTTGAATTCTATGAAAAAATAAATTAGAAAAAACATTTATTAGAATGTAAACTGCTTCAAGTATGATCCTTTCAACAAATTATTTTATTAATTTGTTTTATTTTCAGTTGACTTATTATAACAAAATGCAATTGGCAATAATTTACTCATTAAGCGTATGTTATATTGCAAAATTAGAAGACCGTGATTCTTATCGTAAATATATTTCTAAGTTCTTTACTGGCCATTTTCAATTGATAAATGGTGCCCAAGAAATTAAAGACAAAGTTGTTAGGTAAAGGTGTTTTTTAAATAGTTTTTAATGAATTTTTAAATATATTTCTTTTAAAGTAAATTGTTATTAATGCAAAATTAAAGTCTCTTTTATTTTATTATCTTTTTTAATAATATTTTTATGTATATTTATTTATGTATATATATTTTTATTTATTATCGCTAACAACTCCTGTTTAACATTTGTTTTATATAAATTACAGTCTCCAAAAAAAAATTTTGAATGAAATAAAGCTTGAAGATAATATTGCACAAAATGAAGCTTTATGTGAGAATGTGTTTATGATGGTTATTTGCATTGAATTGCGAATCCCGCTATTTGTTGTCGGAAAACCTGGAAGTTCAAAGTCTTTAGCAAAGTCTATCATTCAGGATTGCATGCAAGGAAACATGTCAAAATCTCGTCTGTTTAAAAATTTTAAGCAGGTTTTTCTACTTTAACTTTTTGAGAAGTTTGTTTCTTTTAAATAAAATTTTAATATATAAAATAAATTAAAAGAATAGAATAAAATAGTTTGAAAGTTAAACTTTTTATCTAATATAGTTTATTGTATATTCTTTATTTATTAACTATTTAATCTTTTTATTAGCTTATAAATACTTCAAAAATTTATTATTTTTTCTTACCAATCATTCAATAGATTTTTATGTCTTCATACCAATGCAGTCCTCTTTCAACAGCTGATGGAATAATAAATACATTCAAACAGTGTAGTCGATTTCAGGAAGGAAAAGATCTTGAAACTTTTACTTCTGTTGTTGTACTAGATGAGGTTGGTCTTGCAGAAGATTCTCCACGTATGCCTCTTAAAGCATTGCATCCATTATTAGAAGATGGTACTGATGGTTCTGAAGAACTTACACTTGATAGTTCATCTCTTAAAAGCAAAAGAGTAGCATTTATTGGCATTTCAAACTGGTCCCTTGACCCTGCAAAAATGAATAGAGGAATTATGCTATATAGAGGACAGCCTGATTTAGATGAACTAGTTGAAACTGCAAGGTATCTTAGCCTTTGCGTTTTATTCCAATGGAGTGAAAAGTTTTAGAAGATTATTAGAAAATGTTATTCTTCCTGAAAATAGTTAGCCTGAAATGGATTTATTAATTTGATAATAAAAATATATTAATCATGATATTATTAATAGTATTTATAATAATAATAATAATAATAATAATAATAATAATAATAATAATAATAATAATAATAATGATAACCATAACAACGAAAATAGTAGTAGTAGAAATTGTTTATTGTTATTGTTACTACAATAATAATAAAAAAAAATAAACAAAGGTAATTATGAAACAATAAAATGATTAAATTATATTGAAATATCTTATTATTCATGAATAATACTTTAGGAATATCTGTTTTAATGATAAATACGTTTTTGGAATGATTGCATCTTTATTTGAACCTCTAACAAAAGGATACTTAGAAGTTTATGAAAAGCAAAATAATTGCAGTATCATAAAAAAGTACAGAAAAGAAGAATTTTTTGGGTTAAGAGATTTTTACAGGTAACCTCAAAGTTCATTTCTGATTTTGCAAATTAACTTTTTTTTTACAAATTTTTTAAGTAAAAATTTAGTCCTATAATTGTGAATAAAGTAAAGGACTATCAAAAATATAAAACGTAAAAATATAAAAATATAAAACATAATATAAAACACACTTTGTCAATAAAAATCATAAGAATAGTCCTTAAAATCCAATTTTATAAAAATTGGATTTTAAATAATTAAAAGAAATAATAAATAAGAAAGTATTTCCTAAATTAAATAATAAATAAGAAGTATTTCCTTGATTGCCCCTCCTATTTTCTTGATTTCTCTTATATTTTCTTTCAAGTTTATTATATTGACCCTGATCAGCTTCAGAATTGTAGCTGAAGCTGATCAGTTTAAAGTTAAAGCAGCTTATTTTTTATATCAGCTGCTTTTCTCATTCACATTCTCATTCACTTACTCATTCACACTAATTTACTAATAATTGAACATTGCATTAATAATCTCTATAAAGTTCTGGTCGATATACTTTTAGAAAAAAGTTTATATATATGGTGCCCAGCATCTAATCAATAATCAGGCTAAATGACCCTTTTCAAAACGAAAACAAAATCCTATAACTTTTTAAATAATTTTTCAAAGTATTTTTCAAATAAATTCTATGAAACAAAAACGTTATTACTTATTTTCAAAAATTTCAGATAAAATGTTTGATAATGTGTTTAGAAGTAGATCAAGTAAGTAGATTTTTAGATAGTTAAATAAAGTTTGGAATTATTTCACAAGGGTTTTATTTAAATTAAGTTTATATAACAGTTTTCATAAGTGCTTAATTGCAAATCCAATATTTTATAGATTTTGTTGAGTACAAAAATATTTCTTTTTTTTTAAAAAAGGTGAAAAAAAAAAAAATTTTTTTCCACTTTTTTCTTTATTCTTTAATCCCTGAACTATTTGTCAGATGAATTTCATAATCAGATGAATTTTAAATTTTTTTGTGAACTGTATTGTATGATAATTTCATTGTATTTATGATAAATTCACTGTATTGTGTTGATAATTTTTATTATTTCTACTGAACTTATATTTTGTTTTTCATTCAGGGAAAGTGAGATTTTTTTTTCCTTTTATTAACTCCTCGTCTCTGTCTGTTTGACTGTGAGCATCAAATCTTGCAATCAATTTTTGAGTCACTTTATGATGATTTAAGAGTATGCATGCAAGATTTTCTTCAAATTTTGCATGCATACTATTGTTTTATGACAATACAATATTATATAATTAGTTTTGCATTAAGTCAATTAATTTAGTTCATTTTAATTAAGTTTATTTTTTATATAAAAAAAAGAAGAAGAATTTTTAAAATAAGCATATTAATTCTTTTCCTACTTACACTAGAGATGTGCTGGGTACCCGGTACGGACCCGGGGACTCTGTAATTTGGCGGTTTTACCAGGTACCTGGAATCGGCCATATTGTTGATGTACCCTGCACTGGGTATCTTGAAAAATATTTTTAACAGACCTCTTTTAAGTGCTGTATCTAATAAATAATAAAAATAGTAAAATAAATTTTTCTTTAGTGTTACTATAAGTTGTGTGGAAATATTAACCAAATAAAAAATAGCTTTTCAAACCAACTAATTTCCTAATAGTTTCAAAAGTTGATAATTTCTATGTACTAATTCTAGATGTGTCTCACTTAAATTGTGTTATTGAATATTTTTTTGCTATATATTGCAAAGCATTGATAGCAGATAATATTGCAAAAAGGAAACTGATTTGTACAGATATAAAAACTGTAAAGTAAAACAAAATAATATGAGAATACAAAAGAAATAAAAAAAAAAATTAAGGAAAAAAAACTAGTAATTGCTTCTTTTTATTGCTTAGAACATGAGAGAAAAATACATTTTTTGCAATTTTAATTGCGAAAAATGAATGAAAGTTTAAAATGAATGAAAGTTTAAATAATCAATTGTTTTGATAAGTTTGCTCAGGCTTTATTTTGCTTAGTAAACTGACTTACATGGGGGTGTGGAGGTGAATATATATATATATATATATATATATATATATATATATATATATATATATATATATACGCACACATATATATATATATACATATATATAAAATCATTTAGAGATCAGCATCTTTCGGCAAAAGAAATCTGATACAAAGGTCTTACCATAAAATATAGAAACAAGTTTGGCAATTTTTTGCTTGTTTCAAACACTTTTAGGTCAGGTATTTATATATACATACATATATATATATATACATATATATATATATATATATATATATATATATATATATATATAAATACATATATACATATATATATATATATATATATATATATATATATATGTATATATGTATATATATATATATATATGTATATATGTATATATGTATATATATATATATAATATATATATATATACATATATATATATATATATATATATATATACATATATACATATATATATATATATATATATATATATATATATATATATATATATATATATATATATATATATATATATATATATATATATATATATATATATATACAGTGTTTCAGTAAAACTTAGAACCGCTTACATTTTTTTTCAATACTCGACAGAAAAACTTGAATAGAAATAATAATAGAAATAGACGGATTAAGATTTTCAATTATTTTCTCTAAATCGAGTAGATAAATTAATTGTTTATCAGAAATGATTTTAATTGAAATAAAAAAATTGCCAATTGGATTTAAATTAAGACTAAGTAATTAGAGGTAAATTTCTAAGCTGATATAAATTATTTATTAAATTTAGCACATGACTTCGAAATCACATATCATAAAAAGTTGTTAATTTTTGAATTTGAAATTTTGTTCACTACTATATAAAGGATATGTTACAAAAAAAATTCTAAAAAATTTAAATTAGAAATAAAGTTAAGATAGTTGGTACTTCCAGACATTTTTGGTAAAAAAAATGGGTAAAAAAGCAGTAGATGATGCAACTAGATGGCAGATTGTTGCATTAAAACAAAATACAGATAAATCTGACATACAAATAGCAAAAGAGTTGGGTGTTTCACGAAAATGCGTCTCAACAACGATAAAAAACTACAAATTAAAAAAAACAAAAAGAGAAAGAGTGTCAAAGATATGCCACGCTCTGGAAGACCAGAAAAGCTTAGTACCCGAGACAAAAACCTCTTCATACGAAAGGTTATGCCGAATCTAAAATTACTCTCCAAGAATTAGCCAAGGGTTTCAATAGCTTGTTCAGAAATTATAGTGTTAACTATGAAACGGTAAGAAAGGTTTTAAAGGAAAAAGGAATCATTTCGTACATTGCTGCTAGGAAGCCCTTTTTGACAGTACGAAACCAGTTGATATGACTGAAATGATGCCGAGAACATGCCAGTTGGTCAGTAGAAGATTGGGCGAAGTGTATTTTCAGTGATGATCCAATTTCAAGGTCATAAATTGCAAAGGACGAGTTTATGTCAAAAGAAAGAAATGGCAGAAGAATGACATGTGCATGGTATCACCAAGAATACAAGGTGGAGGAGGGTCGGCAGGAGTCTAGAGTTGCATCTCTCATAAAAGGTATTGGTTTCTGCAATATGTACACCGGTCGGATCAATTAATATAACTACAAAACAACTCTGGATTAGCGTTTAATTCCATCAGCCCATGAATTTTTCGGAAGACCCAAATGGATTTTTTAGCAAGATGGGGCTCCTGCACAAACTGCCAAGTCGATAAAAGCCTGGTTTTCAGAGAAGAAGATCCAAGTGATGCCCTGATCCGCCCAATTGCTTGATTTGAAACCGATTGAGAATCTTTGGGCTTGGATGGAGTGCCAATTAATGCGCACCAAAATGATGTCGGTTGAGCACTTAAAGCAAGTGATAGAAGAGACATGGAAGAGTATTTTAAAAGAGTTCTGCATGAAATTGAGTCTATGTCTAGGAGAGTTCTTTCATGTATAAAAGCCCGCGGTGGTCATTTTAAATATTGAAATTTGATTTTTTTTAAAATATGCTATATTTAACTGATTTTTTTTGCTACCCTTATTTTTTATGTCTACTTGATTTATTTTATTTTATTTTTATTTTTTATATTTTTTTGCGATTTTTTTTTACTTAAATTTTAAAACATATCTTATTTAATAAAATAAAATAAAATAATTAAAAATTCTTAATCCATTTAATTTCTATTCAAGTTTTTCTGTCGAGTATTGAAAAAAAATGTTTTTTTAGCGGTTCTAAATTTTACTGAAACACTGTTATATATATATATATATATATATATATATATATATATATATATATATATATATATATATATATATATATATATATATATATATATATATATATATATATATATATATATATATATATATGTATGTATATACAAATATATATATATATATGTATATAAATATATATATTATATACATATATATGTATGTATATATAAATATATATATATATATATATATACATATACTCTTGCATGTCTCTTGCGTGGCATCAAAAAATGTTTCCCATAAACTGTAGTTTTAAAGAGCGCGTTAATAAACCAGACCAGAAAAAGTTTTAAAAATTAAATTTTTTTTTTTAATTGATAGACTGCCTGGCCAAACCAAACCCTCAGTCGATGTAGCAGCACTCTCTTGCGAGTCAGGCTATTTGTCAGTCGTTGTAGCAGCACTCCCTTGCGAGTCAGGCTATTTGTCAGTCAATGTAGCAGCATTCCCTTGCGAGTCAGGCTATTTGTCAGTCGATGTAGCAGCACTCCGTTGCGAGTCAGGCTATTTGTCAGTTGATGTAGCAGCACTCCGTTGCGAGTCAGGCTATAAGATAGTCGATGTAGCAACATTTACGCATGTTTTAAAAATGTTTTTTATTAAATCAATGACAAAAACACCGCTAATTAAAAAAAACTTTCTAGTCGTTATAATTGCGGTTTTTTAAAAATTTTTTAAAAAACAATTAAATTTAATGTACTTCCGCATAAATTAATTGCTTTGACATTTCGATGACAATCAAAAACAGCTTAAGAGACGAGGTAATTAAAATTGTAGTCGTAAGAGACTTTTTTTACATTAAAATGCTCTTAAAGCTACACTATATGGGTATATATATATATATATAATATATATATATATATATATATATATATATATATATATATATATATTATATATATATATGTAGCCCGGAATTGGGGTTGGCATTCAGCAATGCTGACCTAAAAGTGTTTGAAACAAGCAAAAAATTGCCAACCTTGTTTCTATATTTTATGGTAAGACCTTTGTATCAAATTTCTTTTGCCTAAAGATGCTGATCTCTAAATGATTAAGGTTGGCAAATTAATGCTGACTTTATTTTTACTAATTCCAAGGGTTGTATATATAATATAAGGGTGTCCCAAAAAGCAATATTTTTGAAAAATATATGCTGGAACCCCCCCCCCCTCCTTTCCCGCACACACATCTAATGTGTTCTATATTATAAAAAAACATTGGATTTAAAAAAATTTTGAATAAAGACTTTTAGGGTCAAAGGGTCAAAAAAAATTTTAGAATAAAGACTATTAGGGTCTCTCTCAAGACCTTTGAACATTTAACGAGTTCCTAGTTCCTAAAAAACAATGTTCATCAAAAATGTGCGGGTCTCAAATTAAGCAAAATTTTTTGATAATTTCAAAAGTTATCATTATATTATAAAAAACTTATTGAATAAAAATTATTGTAAAAAAAATTAATCAAAAAGCTTTTTATTAATTTTTATATATATATATATTTAAAGTTTTGAATATATATATATATATATATATATATATATTTATATTTATATATATATTTATATTTATATATATATATATAAGTATATTTATATATATATATACATATATATATATATATATATTTATATATATATATATATATGTATATATATTTATATATATATATGTATATATATATTTATATATATATGTATATATATAAATATGCTATAGTAGATATATATATATATATATATATATATATATATATATATATATATATGTGTATATATATATATATATGTGTGTGTATATATATACAAATATTCTTGATTTTATTTTGTTTACTTTTGATGTCTTTAGTAAAGCTACTTATTTTTTTTATTTTTTCAGTTTGTTAAAGTTAGTATTCTGCTTTGCTCGAAAACGGCAAAGTACTCCTACACATGCAGATATTGAACATGCAGTTAAAAGAAATTTTAGTGGACTTCAGGAACTTGACACATGGAGTATCTTTAAATCGTGTCTTCCATATGATTTTTCTGTGGTACTTAAATGCACTTTTATTTTTATTTAAAAGTTTTTACTATTTTGTGCTAAAATAAGTCATTCAGATAATTCAAATCAAATATCATTTAGTCAAAAGACACAGAGGCAGATATTTCTGCATTGCGTTTAATCTCTGATAGTTTTGCTGATAAATGTCCATGTTATGAATATCGTTTAAATTCTGAAAAGACTGATAAAGCACACTGTTTAAGTTCTCGCTATCTTTTGTTAATGACAGATGATTATGCTGCTTTACCAATAATTGAGCAGCATTACTTGAAACCCAATCAAAAAAGTACTGTCATTTTTGGAAGCAGCTTTCCTAAGGACCAACAGTTTACTCAGGTAAAAAGTTTTATATTTAGACTTTAATTAGATATTTAATTTCTTGTCAAAAATATATATAATTGATCACAGTTTTTTAATTATGTTAACCATGTAAAATTATGATTTATTATGCTGAGCATTAAGTTTAACGCTGTAGACTAGTGTATTTTGTAGTATAAGTGATACAACCTTTAGCTCACTATTAAGAGGTTCATCGTTCAAATTTATTTATGCCATAGAAAGTTCCACACTCTTCCCTTTTTGTCTGCCAGCAGCCTTGTTTGCAAGATTCTTTGTTTCAAAATTTTATATGAGAGTTTCAAATAAAGCTAAAAAAAAAAAAAAGAGTCCTTGGCTTCGCTCTCTGGAATCTTGGAAAGTGATTTTAATAAATATAAATAATAAAAAAAGTGATCACACATCACTTGCACAATTAATTTGTATTATTATAATTATTTAACAGCTTAAAATTTATTGACAGTTTATAAGTTGCATAAAGTTAAGTTTCTTCGCCATATTTCAGTAGAACTTATTTAAAAATTAAATTTTTGTTTTACATTTACACTTGTTACTGATATACATTTATGTTTGCATATTTATTTTTGTTTCAAAGAAATTTTTATAGAAATAGTTAAGTCGCTTTTTCAATCAAATAGTAAATATGACTAAAATTGTATGTAATTAATACTGAAGGTGCTAGTGTCAAAAATTTAATTAAGAATTTTTTAAAATAAAAATTGTATTTTATATACTATGTCTTTAAAGAGTGTTTAAATTCATTAAAAATCAATGAAAAGCTATTTAATTGTGTAAAACAGTTTACTAATTGATTGGTGACACTTAACCAAAAAATAATGAAGAAAACCATTACATACTTCTCAAAACATGTTTAGCATTAGTTTGACATTTTGAAAAAAGGAGACTTGTAGTTTATATATTATATAATATGTATATATATATATATATATATATATATATATATATATATATATATATATATATATATATATATATATATATATATATATATATATATATATATATATATATGTATATATATATATATATATATATATATATATATATATATTATATATATATATATATATTATATATATATATATATTATATATATATATATATGTATATATATATATTTATATATATATATATATATATATATATATATATATATATAAATATATATATATATATTAATGGTATTTTTAATTATAATGTTATAATTATTTTTGTGCTTGACTTTATTTATTTTTAAAGGTTTGTCGTGATATAAATAGAGTTAAGATATGTATGGAGACTGGCACTAGAGTTGTGTTGTTAAACATGGAAAATTTATATGAAAGTCTTTATGATACATTAAACCAGGTATATTTATGTAGTTTTTGTTTCTGCTTTTGTTTTTCAACACTTAAATATATTTTTATCTTTAGTGAAACTGTTTTATGTGTGTGTTGTTAAAGGAATAGTTAGACATTTAATTGAATAATAATTGATCAGTAAACCACAAAAGCATATATTTAAATAATGTACCAAATTTGTATGAAATTTAGTTTTTTTGTTTTTAGATTATCTTATTTAAACTTCTTTTTAAGTTATAACTTTTTTTCAAGCTAATACTTCTTTTTTTTTAATAATTTTTTTAATAACTTTTTTTTAAGATATAGCATCAAAAGCGTTTTCTAATAATTCTCATAATTTAAGTTTTCGAAATTTTATTTTAAACTGCAATCAGTCAAATTTGTTTAATTTTTTAAAAGTTAATTTTTTGTTGCCTTTTCATTGGTAATTATTACCAATTGCCCAAAATAGCTATCCTGAATGCTATTGTTGGTAATCACCTAAAGCAGTATCCAAAATGAAAAATAGTTATTTTATGTTTAGTATTATGTATCACTTGGAGGAAAGAACTATGTAGATTTAGGCATTGGAACTCACAGAGTTAAATGCAGAGTGCATGAAGATTTTAGGTGAGATAGTTGATGTTTTTTTTTCCATGTTTTATGGTAATTGTGTAAGTATTTTTCTATATAAAAATTATTTTGCTATACTCTATGGTGTTTTTATATATTTTCTATTTTTTTTTTTTTGAGCCTAAATAATTTTTTTTATATGATGTAACTTTTATATTTTAAGTTTTTTGTTTATATTCTCAGTTTTAATTAATTTACTAATTTACTGTAAATTTAGACTTATAGTGATTGCAGATAAAGAAAATGTGTACAACACCTTTCCTATACCTTTGATAAATAGACTTGAGAAACATTTTTTAACTGTATTGAATGGAATGGAACAATCTCAGATAGAACTTGCTGAGAAGCTTAAAAAATGGGCTTCAGATTTTTCTAGCATAAACTCACTCATGTAAAAATTAACTTTGTTTATGTCAATTTTTTTATTTTTCAATTATTTAAAGTTGAATTATTATTCAAGTTAGTTTATATTAACCATTTTAAAGCTTTAAATGATTTTTTATACTTTTTATATTTTTGTCAGTTGCATATATTGAATATAAGTTATTTTATCAACTATTTAAATAAAGTTATTTAAATTAAAGTTTCTTATTTTTTGCACTATATGTTGTATGGGTGTAATGGTAGAGAGCTCTAACCTCTGGAAGTCAAATGTCTTCAACTTGTGTCACATACAATCATACTCAACTTGTTTCTTTGTGCTTTGTTTGTTTGTTTGGTTTTATATTGTTCATGTTTTGGTGTTACAGAGTGTTACATAAAAGTAAATTAAGAAAAAACTTTTGTTTACTAAATTTTTAAATTTGCTCTCTAAATTTGCTTTTATATTTTAAAGGTTTTGTTGTTTTTTTAATTTTTATATTTTTAAAGGCCTTCTTCAAAGACCCTGGTTTAACAATAAAAAAAACTCAGAACAAATATTTAAGACATTTTAGCAAAATGTTACCTGGCAAAAGCAATAAAATTAACTACAAAATGACTTTTTTTTTTTTTTTTTTTCGTCTTCACTTTCAACAAGACTGCAAACAACCACTATAAGAGTTTGAAGTTACTGGAAGAGAAAAGATGAAGTTTGTAGAGCAAGATAACAATTGATAGATGACAAAAAATTGCAAATTATATGAATCAGGAAAGCAAGATGAAGGAAGCCAATCAAAAAAATTCCAAAGAACAGATGTTTAAGGGAAAAAACTAGACAAGTAAGAGCTTTTGGAGTACTTAGGAACAGTCATAAAAAAAGGATGAGACTTAATTGAATGACGAGTAACATGAGAATAAATATTAGTAGATGGCTCGTAGATTACATGAGAATAAATATTAGTAGATGGCTCATGATTAGTAGATTAGTAGAGACGCTAGCTCTTTAGTAAAAGTGCCCATTATAGTATTTGTCAAAAAGAGAAAGAGAAGCATCTTTACGACGGTGTGATAATGGTTGGAAGTTCGCTACAATAGCAGGTCCAACTATGTTTACAATACCTTTTTATGCACCTTGTCTAAAAGAGAAAGGGCATCATTAGAAGATCCGCCCCAGATATGGTAACAATATTCTATACAAGGCCGGATTTGAGATTTATAGATATAGAAAATAGAATCAAGATTTAAAAAGTGCCGAGCTCGATAAAGAGATGCAACTTTAGCAGATGCTACTTTTGCAATGGATTTGATATACGGTTTCCAAGAAAGATTGAAACTAAGAGTTAATCCTAGAAGATAAAAGGTAGATGACTCATTATGTACATTACCGTTCATAAATATAGGAAGATCTAAATTATTGCGATAACTATTGGCAGAAAAAAAATTGAGTTTTATCTGAATTAAAGTTCACCAGCCACTGTGAGCCCCATGCTGTAGCAGAAGTGAGATCCTTATTTATCTTTGTTGTTATTACTTTTTAATAGCCAATCAATATAGCCGAAATCAAAATAAACTAAACCGGAAAATTAATTTAGATCTTCTCATTCACAATAATGTAATATTACTTACTGTTTATACCATTTGCTGTAATGTGGAGCATTTCTTTGTCCAAGTTTTTCATTTCTCAAATGTCTGTAGGTTTCTGCAATATAACTAGCATTACAGTCAGTGCAAATTGTTTGTAGACATGTATATGTATATATATATATATATATATATATATATATATATATATATATATATATATATATATATATATATATATATATATATATATATATATATATTTATATATATGTATGTATATATATATATATATATATATATATATATATATATATATACATATATATATATATATATATATATATATATATATATATATATATGTGTGTGTGTGTATATGTGTGTGTGTATATATATAACAAAAAGTTTGTATTACAGGTAGATGCACCCCAAAAACCAAGGCACCTCAAAAACAACACGGTCAGTTAAAAGGCTCTAAAAATTTAAATATGCATTTTAAAACCATATGAGAAATTTTTTCTCATAAAGGAATGTTTCAGCAAAAATTAAAACAAAAGAAATCAATATTAACAATAAAGGAGTTTTTTTTACAACCGTTTTAAACTTAAAAAGTGCTGAGAAAAATAATTGAGTTTTAAGTAATATTGCTATAAAATATTGGTTTTTTAGACTAAGTTTGCAAATCCCATCTAGTTTGCTTATCTTTTATATGCTATTTACATAAATCAAACCATTTTTATTATAAGTAGAAGGGAAACTTGTAAAAAAAAGTTTAAAAATTACATTTTAACATGTGGTTTTTGGGGTGCGCTAAGAAAAAGTTAAAAAAAAAAGTTTATCCAGAACAAGTCTTTACAACAAATTTAAAACAAATAGTTCATTCAATAAAAAAGATTTTGAATATCACAGTTATTTCTTTCTAGCAGCTGCAGATAAAATCATTTCTGGGTTTTTTCCATTTACTTTGCAGTTTGCTTTGCTGCAAATGGACCGCATTATATTGAGGCAGGTTGGACACTGCTTTAAGCCAAAAGCTTTACATTTTATCTCCTCGCAATAGCATAGAAGCTTACATGTTATAAAGAGTCTTGTAACTTCCTCTTTCTTTTTTGCAGCATTTTCTTTTTTTTCCTTTTCTTTTTCTTTTTTTCTTTTTATGCTTTCAACTAGAGTTATTACATCGCTTGCAGTCATTGATCCATGTACTTGGGTAACACGTGTTGCATCTTTTGTTAGTTTTGGCTTTATCTTTTTGGTTGTCATAAAACCAGGTATTTCTTCCAGCTGAATGCTCTTTTCATGAAGTTCATCAATCAACTCCATCGCTTGTTCAAATTTTGATTTCCAATAATTTGCTGAACCACGTCTTTTATCCGGCGAAGAAATTAGTAGAGAAGTCTGTTTTTCTGGTTCAATACAGTTTTCTGCTCGTTCGAATTTGTCTTTTTGCATAAAATCAACACTCAATGCATTTTCGGCAACACCAACCCTTTTAGCAGATTTTACAAGCGTTTCTTTGGTTGTCCACTTGTCCCATATATTAGCTAAAACTAACATAAAAGCTTCTTTGTTTAAGGAACAGATATCAGAAAACATAGAGTCTTTTTGCTTACGATACTCACTATGAATGTTCTTGTTTACTTGGTCAAGAAGTTGAGTAACTCCTGTTGTGTCTGGTGGAGTAAGAAAAAGATGAATTCTTTTGGACTCCAAAAAAGGTAATACATCAAAGTCTAGTCTAGAGCTATTTAAGTAGACATCAAACTCTTTCAATGCTGCCAAGAAAGATTCATGGGTTGATACTCCATTATCTGTAGTTGTGACCAACAAATGGGGAATTTTATTTACTGCTTCTGTTGGAACCATAGAACTAGTAATACCAGTACATTTAAATATTACCTGACACATACATATGTCGCCTAAAAATAAAAAATAAAAAAGTTTTTTAATGCTTGTATTTATTTATATTCAATTTTTTCTTGAACCATAACATATTATAGCATACCTGAAAATGAAACAAATGGTTGAATTGTGACACATTCTCTGTTTTCTCTATACATTCTTTGACATGCATCTCCTTTGCCAGCATAAAATAATCCAGAAGTGGTATCATCAATTCTATAATTAATAAACTGGGGTGTTTCATCACAATTAAATATTCGGCATGTATCAACAGTGCCATTCCAAACCCCTGTTTCAATCATTTTTTCATTTATCATAATACCAACATCTACTAGTTCTTTAGCAAGGGAATCTGAAATAATGTTATTATAGGGAAATGAACAAATTAAAAAAAAAAGTACATTCAGATTTATGAATTTATATTTGTTCATTAATAACTTACCTAAATGATTACATGCCATTTCTCTTGAACAATTAAGTGCACGGTTTATCGAGACACTCCCTTGGCGTTTGATTGTAAGGCTGCTATGTTTAGCATTAAAACGAAGCCAAAATGATCGACTCAATCTATAAAATGGAATATTTACATAAAGAAAAGAGTCATATTACCCGTCTTACATACTTTTATAGGATCATTGTAGATTAAATGAATTCAATTAAACTTACTT